GAAAGTGAGCTCCTTGCCTACACTCCACCAAGATTTTTTATACAAGGGCACCTCCTGCCAGTTATCTTGTATAATAATGCTCTTGGCTTGTATACCAAACGTCGAATTATAGAGGAGTCCTGTAATACAGCTAACGTTAACCTCTAGACAAACCGTAACATAGGCCACGACTCTCCAACAAAAAATTTTTGTTTTTCTATTAGTAGGAAAATTTGGTTTTAGTGATTGTCGGAAAGAGTTCGTTTTTTGACAGTGGTAATTATTATTAATTAATAATTTTAATTGATTATTAATCAGATTTCAAAATTTCATGATGCCTAATCTTTTTAAAACATAAAAACCAAATTTGAATTTAATTCTAATTATATTTTCTAAGCAGGTTGGCAAAAGACTTAATAAAACCCAATGGTGCTGTGAGTAAAGCCAATAGTACTTTGAATAAAGTCAATAAATATTAGCTCTATTGGACTGGATAACAGTCTTATAAGACTATTATTCAGTTGCATTATAATGTTATCTAGTTAGGACGATATAGTCTAGAATTTATAATGTTATCTAGTTAGAACGATATAGTCTAAAATTTTATAATGTTATCTAGTTAAGACGATATAGTCTAGAATTTTATAATAGATTATGTCCGCCCCAAGTAGATTATAATCTGTGATACCGTCCTCAGGTATGTGGCCAGTTACATAGTTTCTCTTTTCCAGGTTGCCTGACTAGGTGAGAAGATGCGCGATTCTACCTTTCTTGGCCTGTTTGGAAACCATCTTAGATACCGTTTTGGCCAGATTCTATATTGAGGTGCTTACCTTTTTGCGCCTATTCAGTTGCCTGTCAAAATATCAAAATGTGATAAAAAAATATTGTGTCGGGTAGCAAAGTAAATCTGTGTTTAAATTTGCCCGGCACTATAGCATAATTCTGGCCGATCTTTAAAACACATGATTTGAGAATCTATCTCAGCACCATGATACCGATAGTGTCATAGCACTAGCAGGAAACTGGCAGAAAACTGGAAAGGTTCTATTAGTTTGCCAGTTCTGAACTACTTTTATGCCGGTTTGGATACCAAGTTATTGTATTCAAAGATTTGGCCGAAATTATAGAATACTGCTGGCCATAATTAACCGAATTTACTATACCTCCACCATTACTTCAAAGGCCCGATCATAGTTTAAATGCACTTGTGCTAGTCGAGGCATTGAGTGTGTTAATTTTTGAGTGTCACTAAGAAATTCTCTTGTCACTATAAAAAAAATTTCTTGGTGACGGCTCTTAGTGACACCTTCATGTATTTTTTCAAAGTTTCATGATGCTCGGTCATCTTCTTTTATATATGTATTAGTGTATATATACTTAGTGTGAAGTATGTATGCAATATATGTATAATATTAGTTAGAAAAAAATAAAAAAGTAAAGAAGTCCGAATTTTCTTAGTGACTCTTAGTGACATAGTGACACCCACCTGAAACTTATTCTGTAGGTTTGAAATAGCGAAATAGCTATAAATTTTGTCACCAAGAGCGTCACCAAGAATTTTTTATCACTAAGACTTTTTGATGATACTCATCAAGTTGTATTATTTTTGTTTACCTCTATATTACCTACTGTTATCTACATTGAAGCCAAGTCAGCTAGCTTTTTCTGATAGTACTGTTCTATTTTACGATGTTTTCTTGCATGAATATCACAAGTACCATATTTGGAAAAAGTTAATTTACCACATTCATTGCAAGGTACACGTGAGGAAGAGTTCTAATGAATTTGGCATCCTTCTGGTCGGTAGCATCCCCGATTGCAAACCTCACCACTTCTGAGAATATAAAGACATCGATAAAATACCATTTTTTAATAACTATAAATAGTTGGTTTATGTATTGATTTATATATTTTGGAATTAATTTTTATTTTAAACTTTTTTCTCCCGAAATATATACATTCTCTCGAACTGTATATTTGTAATATTATACCATGACCCAATCCAAGCTTTCAGAAAATTTAGACGGCCCCGCCCTTTTCCAGCCAGAGGCTGGAAAAGATAAAATGGAAGCCCAACTGATTCGCTATTCTGGCGAAAAGTACTTGATGAATTTTCAAACTCTAGATGAAATAGTTAGAGAAAATGGTGATGAGAGATTGTCCGCAATTCTTGAAAATGAAATAGCAAATCATTGTGATATTTCATTTATAGCCATTGAGAATAAAGGGTCAACAGAAAAGATAAATGAAACTTATCGCTATGTATTGCATCTTTATAGTCGCCTTATTAATGGCCAAAAGGCACTGGTAACTCTTATAGGCATTCAGGTTTTCTTTAACATTCGCGTACCAGACGGAGAAACTTCAGATGAATGCAAAGAAAAGATGAGCGAAATTCTCTCTGGCATCATGAAATTATTTAAAATGGAGCATATTAAAGTATTTCCTTTCCATGGATACTATACCGAAAAAAAACCATATTTACAAATTTATACAAATAGTACTGGAGAAAGAAAGAGAGCCATCAAAGCTGTTCAAGATAATAATTTCGAAACTGCTTTAGATGATTTATACTCATTCCACTAAAAAGTGGCTCGAGAAAACGGAATCCAACTCTCTGGGTAGTCTACAATAAACAAATATATATGCAAAAAAGGCAAATAGACTAGCCCGCTCTGTCTGCATGAATTCTATGTGTCTATAAAAGATTTCTGTCCGCTAGAGGATTTTACAACAATAAGTGATCGATTCTCTATTACAGCTCTCTTACGGGATCGTGCTTTTGTCCTCACGTGGGATATAGAGATGCAATCACAAGAGTTGGGTGAATTTTTCAAAGTCCTTGATCTGAATCATAATGTTTTTATGATTTGTATGATATTGCATTGAAAAGATGATCCAAAACCACTAAAGCAAATATGTCTTGTCGATATTGAGACAGAACCAGATCCATGCTAGACTACAATCATTTGTGGAAACCAAGAAAATTTGCTGAAAGCGTTTGCCCTCTGCTGGCGAGCATTTGCACCTAATATCCAAGCTGGGTTTAATGATTCTAACTATGATTGGTGTTTTATTATGGAGAGAGCATATCAACTCGATATACTCGAATGGATATGGGAGCGAATGACAGGAAAGTTTGAAACAAAGGAAGAAATTTTAAAATGGAAATATCGCGAAAAAATAGGAGCGAAATCTGAAATGTTTTTAAGGCAAAGAATGCTGTTAAGCCTCCTGAGGAAGGCGAGGAGGATCCAGAGGAGAAAGAATATATGGGCGGTCCAATTAAAATCAAAATTAGTGCGGAAGAGGATTTTACTTCTAGCTTCCTTAAACTGCCAGGTTGCATACTAATTGATGCCCGGGTGTGCCTCAAAAGACGTTTCCCTCATTCTGAAGTCGAAAAGGAAGGCTCACTTAAATTCTTCTTAGAAAAATGCGGTCTTAAGACTAAGGCCGACATGCCATACGATAAAATGTGAAAAATCTATTCAGAAGCGAAAAAAAGCTCCTCCTCATCAACTGCAAGAAATATGCGTGAAGTAGCACATTACTGTATTATAGATACACTACGCTGTCAAAAGCTTTTGGTCAAGCTAAGTCAAATAAATGATTACATAGAAGTCGCTTCAATAGCTTATATGGAACCCCCCACAGCAAAAGGGGGGATGAGCCAAAAAATTTGAAAATTTGTTCTTATAATAATTTTATTCTAATCAATTTGATTCTTCGAAATATTGAATTTTTTTAAAAAAAATTTTTTTGGCCCATCCCCCCCTTTTGCTGTGGGGGTTCCATATATCTTTATTCGACTCACACTACCGTGCGAATGGAATGAAGGTACAAAACCTTCTGGGTGTTTACGCTTTTAAACGAGATATAGTAATTAGCACAAGGATACCTGAAAACACAGAAATGGGTAAGTATCCTGGCGCGTACATATTTCCACCTAAAAAAGGGATTGAAATGAGAAAACCTATAACGGAATTAGATTTTGCTTTATTATATCCTAGTCTCATCATGGCTTACAATCTCTCTTCAGATAAAATAATACTAACACATAGAGAGGCTGATATTGCGCAAAATAATGGAAGCAAGTTGTATAAGATTGAGTTTCCATTTAATAACTGCACCATCCAAGCTTGGAGTGTAAGGCATGATAATCAATTCGAAAAGAAGGGTTTATATCCTGTTGTATTAGAGGATTTATTCAACAAGAGAGTAGAGCTTAAAGCACATCTTGCCTCATTAGGAAAGAAGAAGGAACGACTTGGGAAGATGATAAGTTCAGCTAAAAAAAGAGACAAAAGGATTCCAGAGAGTTTAAATTTAGAATATTTATCCGTATGCTTCGATTACGATTATTTTGATTTGAAGTAAAAAGCTCTGAAGGTATATATGAATACTTTCTATAGGGAGGCCAGAAACTCAAAATCTCCAATCTTTCTTCGTGCATTAGCTGGAGGAACTACTTCAGCAGGAAAATACAACCTTAATCTTGTAGCAAAATTCGTAACAAAGAAAGAGTTTGGGATAAAATACGGTGATACTGATTCTTTGTATCTTACCTGCCCAGATAGGTATTACAATAAATACGATGAGGCCTTCTCTAGAAAAGAACTTTTCAAAGAAGCATACTGGGCTGAAATGGTCAAAATTACTATAGTTGTGATGGAAAAGTTACGCAATCAAATAAATGCCTATCTTAGGATAAAAAGTGGGACCTCTTATCTAAATATGGTATATGAAGAGGTATTATTTCCCATTTGATTTACTGGCAAAAAGAAGTATTTTGGGATTGGACATAAAAAATGAAGTAAACTTTAAACCGAAAAACCTTTTTCTGAAAGGGATAGATAGTGTAAATCCCAGCTTCTCAAATTTATTGAAAAAAGGATTATGAGAGAGGCTATGGATATAAATAATACACGCTCAATTCACAAAATTGTTGAAGATACTCTTAGAGAAGCACAGAACAAGGAATGGAATTCCAATGAATTTATCATAATGGGTACATGGAAGCCTAAGAAAAAAAATCACTGCAACAATTGCTTTTGGGACATATGAAAAATAGAAATGAGAAGATTCCTGATCCTGGTGAACGGTTTAGCTATATAGTCATCAAAGGCCCGCCCCTCTATAATGAACAGGGTAGAAAGGTACTACACAGAGTTGGAGATTATATGGAGTACGCGGATATAGCAAAAGAGCAAAATATGGAAATAGATATCAATTATTATTTAGGCACTACGGTTGGAATGTGTGCACGCTTTGTCAATAAGGATGAAAAATATCAACCACCTTCTTCACATAAAATCACACAACTTAAAGATTCAGATGAAAAAGAGAAGCAGATTGATGTCTATTCCCAGAATGAGGCAAAAAAATAGCTTAAAAAATATATAAAAACTTTACAATAAACATTCTAGATATTTTGATGATTTGTCCGAAGTGGAGATAAACGAAATCATTGAATTATATAGATAAGTACTCTTAGCTGAAATTTCCACACCCCTGCTAGAAAACTTATAATACATATATCGGAGTTGGAAAAAATAAAGGATGTATACTTGAGCAGAGGATCATTGAGAGTAGTAGCTGAGTTAAATTTGGCATTTTTTTTTTTTTTTCTCATTTCATTCGAAAAAAAATAATTTGGAGAAGAGCAATTTTAAAAATATGTTTTTTTTGAGCTTGTGAAAAAAACAGCCTATTTCGCAAATTTCTGTACGTGATATTCTATTGTATCTATAAAATGCAAGACGGAATTGACACTAAAGCTTTGGCATATGCCCAAAAGTGTGAAGGAAGATGCTTAGCTAAAGTTAGTCCTAATATATATTTATGGGCATGTAAGAAAAAACATCAATAAGAGGCGTCATATAAAAATATGAAACAGAATTACTGATAGTGTAATATTTGCCCTAATGTACTAGAAAGAACATGCCGGTATATATTTGAGGATTTATTACATAAAAAATTTCCTCTTCGAAAACCTAAATTCTTAAAAGGATTACATCTAGATGGGTATAATGAGGAGCTAGGCTTGGCCTTCGAATATAGTAGTTATCAGCATTATCAAATTGTGCCTTTTTTCCACCCACAAGAGCAGATGAATCTAGATGCACAAATTTGTCGTGATTGGGAAAAGAGGGCGTTATGCTACAAAGAAGGAGTGATTCTTATTACTATACCCTACTACGTAGTAGACTTAGAAACATTTATAAAGAGCGCCTTATATGCATTCAGTTATCTCTCAATATCCACCTAGGAGACAACATAGGCTCTTCCTTAATATGCATTAATTGTTCTCTTACAAAGGGACGCCGAGGTCCCGATTCATCTAAATAATATAAAATGAGCATGAGAGGATTTTTTTCAACAACAATTCTTCGGATTTTATGTAGGCTAGGAGACCATATTGGATCTGTTATTCTATATCGTTTGAAAGGATCATTTTCCCATTCTCTAGAAGCAAGCAAAAATCGGATAGTAGTACCCTTTGATAGTCGCGGTTCATCAACACCTATCGGGCGATTATATTTTATTGATGGTTTGGAATACACCTGCTCAAGTTTTGTGGCCTCATTGGGACTCATTTCAATTAACTGAGTAGTAGTATCATTCATGTTATCAACAATTCTTCTTGCAAATCATTCACATTCTCTACAGCGTTCGCCGGTAGGTAAGAGAAACTCTATTGCATACTGGTTTTTAAAAACCCTTAATTCGAATAATCTGGCATAATGATCAACCATAGCCAAGCTTGTATACCTGAAATGTGCTTTAATTCTTCAGATGTTAACATTGTGTTCATCCATTATCAATGTCACACTTCCTATGAACTCATGACCTTGGTTATATTGCAATAGCTGAGCCCAGTTAAGAGGATTGTCAGGATTATTATATATACTCTTAAATGCTTCTGCGACTTCTTCACTACTTTTTAATGTTAAAAAAAACGAAATCTTTATATCTAGTTGCGCAGTCTATAGTACATAGTAAAATATTGGGCCATTATCCAACAAACCCGTATCTACATCTTCATCATATGGTATTTCAATTAAATCACACTGGTGTACAGAATTCGGGTTTGTAATTTTAGAGTAACTGGCATAAGGTATATTCTTTGGCGGAGAACGAAAAATTTGATACATTGCTTGGCCATCAAGCCATTTTTTTACATCATTAAAAAGAAAGTTGTAGCTAGCTTTCTTATAAGCATCTCACAATTCCTTAACATTTTGATAGAGACCCTCGGGCTGATAATACAGCTTCTGTAAGGCAAGATATCGGTCAAGATCACATGCTTTTTGGGAATCAATAAGAATCGTAGGTTTTTGTAATACCAAATTTCAATCTTTAACTTTTTTACTCTTAGCGATTTCTTGATCGAGTTCATAGGCTTTTTGTGGATCGATATAAATCAAAGGTT